GCCAGAGCCGGACGGACCAAAATTGTCACCTATCCAACTCCTCGTAGCGGCTTTCCAGGGTCAGTTTTTGCATCAGCGACATTCCATATGTTCTCGACTAGAGCTCACGCATCTTTTCACTTCATTATTAGCAAAAGTATGGACCCATTGGGGTTGTTGTTTTAATCATTCTCGGAAATAGGGAGCAATTTTACTCGTCTTGCTTCGAACGTATCACTTAGACGATAAGGAAGAGCTTTGCATCACCAAGCGAATAAATCTTCAGTAATATACGTATACTACGCCATCCAATTACTTCCTTCAATTAACTTTTAATTCAACTTTTAATTCATGCATGATGCTGTTACCACATTAATAGCCATAAAAAGCTGCCTCATTTTTTACCCTTGATTAATTGCATGTCAATTTGAGAAATAAGGCCAAAAGCTGGATGGGAAATGATGGCATGACATATGATCAATGATAAACAAAGGCAAAGAGCCATTGACTTTCTATTTATACAGCACAAGCGGATGGCGTGTAGTCAGCGCGATGACGAGACATCTCGTGAGTCATGAGGCGATCAGCGATCAAGCCACCAAACTTGCTTCAAATTAGTTTATGCTGAGTCACCATGAACGACAACTATGATGAAAAGGAAGCAGACAAAATAGTGACTAAACACCTAAACACTATATACATTTACATTTGAGAGGAACTTTGGATCCCTACACACACACATATTATGCAGTAATCATTGCAGAGATTAACAGTATGACAGGAATAGTGCAAAGTATCACAGGATCATCAGAATACGACGGAAGGCAAGATTTCCAAGCAAATGGCCCGCATGGTTGCTATATGTTATGACAGCATATGTAGTTGTTTCCGAGCAGTCAACGGTAAAGGTTTGATGTTTGCCGCCATACCACGTCATAGAGGCCAGTGATCTCCAATTGACGATAAGGTAAGCTTGATTGGAGCAAATAATTAGCAGCGGCGATGAAAACCGCAGCTTCGCATCAACCTTAATCGATGACTTCTCAGAATTACACTCGTACTTGCACAAGGGACAAGGCGGGTTTGGCCTAAACAGCACGAAAACTATCGGAGCTAAAGAGCAGAGAACGCGATTTTTAGAAAATTGAATACAATTTCACAATTCAGGGTACCGTTAAATTCAGCATCTCTATATCATATAGTACTTCATCAGCAATGCTGTTGCTTGAGCCACAATAGCAAAGAGCAGTTGAGAGTTACGGGCCATATTATGCCTACAGTATACTGGCAATGTGTAATTAGGGTACCAGTGAAGGAATTGGTCCGGTTGTATTTCAAAATGAAAGAATAACTCAGGAAATAATTAGACTAAATCTGAAAATGCTCAAATCTTCATAAAAGCACCCTAGGCGGTTCAACAAGGTAGTGAAAAAGAGCAAAATAGAAGTGCTAGACCTCAAAACGGGCATCGAAATCCTACCGACTACAAAAACTGTGATTTTGAAGAGCGCATAATCACCGAAATCCAATACACTTGATGCGACGCTCAACCAGATGAGCTTTTGCTCACAGCAGCCTTGCGAGTGATATCGGAAATCACGCTGTCGACTGTGTCATCCATGGGATTATTGAACTCCTCGTTAAATTCGTCTCGCATAGTGTGCACGCGGAACCTTGAAAATATAATGGTAACGCCGGAGAAAAATCATATGGAGGACTAAAAGTCTCAATTCTTTGTCTTTCGTGAACTGTGGTGAGAATCTTACTCAAAGCAACAACCCCAGAACAATCGGGTCGTGGGTAGGATAGAGTAGCCCGCGAGTACCACAGTTGTGCCGTTGTCGCCGCTCGAAAATTCGCTACAATGGCGCTAGGGCCTAAAAAGTGAGCTGATGACGGCCTAGTGAGCTGATGGACGAGACACCTCGCGCACACTTCATGATACGTAAGGTGATTGTGTCAAAAACGCGTGAGTTTGTAGCCATGGAGCAAGCAAGTTTGATGACTCGTCCGGAACGCCCTACCGCAATTCAAGGGGGAAGAAAGGGAGTCCTCAATCAAGGGCTTCGTCGAGATTAGCTTTGCTTCTTTCTTCATTTGTCAGCTTGGTACCCAACTCTACGCTGTTACACCACCAATTTGATACGAGAATCTTGCTCAATCGCAACCTTGGTCCGATCGCTTAGCAATGTTCGGACTCAGGTTGAACGTCAAAAAGACTGAGTACTTGACAACCGACACGAGCGAGTGCGGTTCTATCAAAATAAATGGCACAGAGCTGACACGTACAACGACATTCAAGTATCTTGGATCAGCAATCGCGTCTGACGGCAGCATGGGCATCGAAGTGAGCCCTTGTGTGAAAACGTTCTATGAGGGGCATTCTCTGTGACAAGAGTATCCCAGAGCGCCTCAAAAGAAGATCTATAGGACAGTCATAAGACCAGTGGCAATTGTACGGCGCTGAGTGCTGGCCACGACCAAGGAAACTGAAGCCCGCCTCGGTGTAATGGAGACGAAAATGCTGCGCTGGACGGCTGGTGTCACGCGATTAGATCGCATTCGTAATGATGTCATACAGATCGCTTTGGTGTAGCTCCCATTGTTGATAAAATGCGCGAGGCCCGGCTTCGTTGGTACGGCCATGTTCTTCGCGGAAATGAGTGTCCGTAAGATCGGCATAGACGTGCCTAGGAAAGCGGCCTAAGGGACGCCCAAAGCAGCGCTGGCTTGATACGTTGCATGTGGACTTGAAGTTATTTGGCCCATCCCGATCAGGCATTCAATCGGGAAAAGTGGCGTCAACACATCAGAAAAGCGGACCCCGCCCACCAAGCGGGACAAACGCTGAAAGAAGAAGAAGAAGAAAGAAGAAGAAGTCTTGCTCGGTTGTTTCTTAAACTCGCGAATAACATGGGCGATGTGCAAAGGTAGTCATATAAGGTAAAGGGAGCACTTACAATGTGACAATGTCCGCATGTTTGCCTTCCACCGCAATCTCCAGTGGTGTCACTCCGTCGGCATTTTTCAGCGACTTGTCTGCCCCTCGCTTGAGAAGCTGGCACACTTGCCTGAATTAATACAAAGAATAATATATGTACAACACATAAAAACTAAAGCGCACGCGAGTCAACTATGTATTGCGGAGAAATGGTAAAGCTCTCCTGATGATTCTAAGACAAGACGCTCATCGAATTTTGGCTGCGTCTTTTGGAGTTTTTTTTATTAGGACCAGTGAAAGCAAACAAAGCATACTTGCTACTTACTTGCTAATTTTTTACATAGACGAAACATATTTGCACTTCTATCACTATCAGAGCGATAATCAACTCGAACTTTTATCAATTCGAAAAATGCGGAACACCTTGCAGCTGGAATTCTCATGCTCGTTGACCTTTAACCCTTTCGGCCCTTGCGGTGGCAATTGCCAACATCAAATTCAAGTGTTTGAAACAGCATGGTTTTTCTAACCCTGCTAGAGGTTGCTTCAGTCAACCTTCCCCTTCCTAATTATGAGCTAAACCTGCCATTTCATTGTGTGTTGCTGTTAGTATTACAAGTATTTGTGTACAAGTGCAACAATGAATCGGCGCTGGTCCCCGCAACCGGCCAAGTAAGTGTCACTTTTTCTTAAAATACTTGAAGTAGATCCATTCTTTTATCAAAATTATGGGTTATAATGTTATGCAAGATTATAAACTTTTTCGGCATAACTATGAAATTTGGAATTGTTTCGACATAAGCTTAAAAACTAAGAAGGTGGGCCAATTTTCAAAGCTTCTTAGTTTCTTTGTTTGTGATCGAATAGCTTCCAAATTTCGCCATAATGATACTTATATGCTCACAAGTAATAAACAATAGCTAGAAGAAAAATTTCTCCACGGGAAAAATTCAGGTCCGAAAGGGTTAAAGTCCAACATTTTAGGAAGGAAGCTGTCACTGTCCTCAGTACGGCATCTACTGGTTTCTGGAGCAAATAGCCGAAGGCTTGTGCTATGCAAATTCAATCCGAAATCTGATCTCCGGACTATGCGCGTGACATCGGCCCTCTTGCCATTTCAAACTTCCGCCTAGCCCAGAACATGTACCAGCGCTCCAACTGGATACTCAGTACTCGGACAATGACTGTAAGGTCTCATAGTACATTTTCACACGCGAAGCGCCTCAGGGCAGGGTCAAGCGTCCCGCTCGTACTTTTTCAAAAATTTTAAGTCTTCTTCTTAGGGAGCTCTCAAAATCTCCCATACACGTGGAAAAGGTAACCCACAAATACGTGTACACCCCACCGCCACCACCACTTTACCAGCACGGCTGCCTCTATAGCATTTGATTCTGACCATGAAACAACTCGAAACAACCCAACTCAGAACACCAGATAGCGGCCGTCGAGGGGGGGGGGGGGGTGAGGAGTAAATGTGAGGTCATTTCAGTCATTATTCACTCTTTCGTGAAGTATGACTCTTTTTTTGTTGGAATCGCTTTGACAAACACAACCTCCCTTCGCGCTTTTGTTCTCTTCAAAGAGAATTGGCCTTGGGCAGCTTCAAATACAATCCTCTCCCCAAAATCGAAAATGCGTCCCCCTCCGAACCTATCCGAACGGATGTTTGGCCCTGCTCTGGACCAATATTTTAGAGCTAGTAGGCAAGCAACCTTTTCCCCAATCACACGCGTAGAGAATGACCAATTTTGGAGACCTTACAGATCGCTCCATTCTTGGCAATAAAAAATTATGATCCCAACTTTGCCTCCGCGCACATGTTTCCTACCATTTCATTCAATAAAAAGAAAAATAACGAAGTAAGGGTTTCACGTACAGAGTGTTCCCTTTTGCAGCAGCCAGGTGAAGAGGAGTGTTCAACTTGTCATCGAGCACGTTGATTTTTGCGCCATTCAACAACAAAAATTCAACAGCAGCCGTCTGACCCTTAAAATAGAGTGAGCTCAGGTTTGCCGAAGAGAAGTCCACCTCAATGCTAGAACCATTATTTGAAACCATTCACTAACATTCTTCGTAGCAATGTGTAGTGCTGTAGTACCACTGCGAGCAGAATTGATGTCCGCACCACCAGCAAGGGAACGAAGCAAGCCGAGTACGTCACCACAACGTGCGGATTCACTTATGATGTCCCGATCATTGGATTCCACTGAAAAGGGCACTAGGATATTTCAAAGGCCTTACTATTGAAGACGAAATGATCAAATATCAAACGGTCACAAACTAAAGAGAATAGAATAAAAAATTAAAATAACAAACCGCTAAAATCACATTTGGCTAAGCTGGGGTCGGACCCACAGGATGACAACCTTTTCAATCGAATACCTATAATGGCAATCATCACAATGAGGAAAGTCTCAGTAGTCACCGAACAGCTGATCAAATAGGGTTGGAAAATAGTTTACAGTAAGTTAATATAGATGCTAGGATTGCCGAATTAGCAAAAAAGGTACATTGTATAAATAAAGTGGATCACTCGAAGGCACACCCTACGATCAAACTGGAGTGATACTTGGAATATGAGAATAAAGTAGGGGTGGGAAGTGAAGCAGTAGCGGAGAAAAAAGAAAAGAGGCGACCAAGAACGGTATATTTTAGGGCCTACTCATTCTGCAAACCGCTGCGTTAAAACAGTAAGTTACTGGGCGAGAAGAGGGGACGGATGAAAGCGCGCAATGGGTGAGAATGCGCACAAACCCGTAAGTTGTGAATAAGGAAAAATGGAAGCGGACGAAGCGGTCTAGGGGAGGCACTAGCGTCCTTTTCGCGCACTTCTATCAGAGCGGGAGCTCTGCGACTTGGGAGAGCAGCTTTATCCCACCCATCAAAGCGATTGATCCACCTGAACTCACCGGGGTTGTGCCTTGGAAAAAAGCTTTTCTGCAGTTTCCTCATCTTTCTTCCAGGGTGCCGCATCGACCGAAGTCAATTTTTTGCGACGGCACGAAGTTGGCAATGCAAGCGAGAAATGCAAAAATAGGTCTGACCCATTTCTGTATTCTCTGCACTGATTGAGAGGTCTAGTTTTTTTTTCAATGTAGGGGTGAACAGTGAACCAGTAAGGAAGAAAAAAGGAAAAGAGACAACCCAACAACGGTATGTTTTAGAGCTGACTCTTATTTTCTTTAAGTGGTACACTTTTAGAATGTGGTGTCTCTTTCGGGTGCACTACGCTGTTCGACGGCAATCAACTGAGCTTTTTTCAACCCATGCGAACCAACGCTCGTTCTTACCTGACACAGGATTACCGAGCAAATGTTTGAGTGTCATTTACAACCAGAACCTCCTTTTCTCTGCATTAGCTTTACGACTCAGAGAATTTTACGCAGGAGATATGAATGCTCCAGGAGCTGTCCTCGAGTTTCCTAGAGGCTCCATGTCTCAGGTGGGTCTGCCTATTGAAAAAAGTTACGCGGATGCTTCACGCTGCGGCAATTTACTACAGGCCTCGTGAGTTCGTCGGAAACGAGAGATGGCTTCATTTTGTTTGGGAAGAACAAAGCCTGCTTCTTGAAAAATATTTCAGGAATATTTTGCAGTGGGATTTGTCCCTATTTTGTCGCTCTGTGAATGATAACGTTGCTGGTGTAGGACGAAACACTAGTCCTTTTGCAACCGTTCCCCTTCC